AATGGGAACGGGATTAAACGATAAAAATTTTACTCTGGCCCGGTGTTGTATACAAATCTAAAGGTCAACTTTTAACATGGGCCTTGTTACCTGGAGGCAGTGTGTAATTGAAATATCCACTAAAAAATATGGGTTTTTGGGACAGATGTTTTTCAAATTTTTTATGGCTAGAGGCAAAATTGTCTCTCAGTTGGAAGTACCCGGTAAAACTTTACTCGTCCGAACGGGCCCTTGAATGGTCTCGGCCATTATTGTTTAGGTGTGAGCAGTTTACTACTGTTTGTAATAAACGTCATTAAAACCGCACATGCACTTCCGTCATAAAGAAGTTGTGCTGCTATCTGAAGCTATGAAGCTATTAGGAAAATCATCCATACAGAATTTGTTTAAAAGCAGTTTTTGAGCAAAATGCAAGGTTAAGTAAAATACTACAAATTCAGTGGAAATGCAATTTGATTTTCAACTACTAGGTTTTATGCTCACCAGCTTGACTGGAAGTTTGTTTGTGTCCTTGGCAAAAATGTCTAAGAACCGCAGATCCAGCTCATTTTCCTCACCACCATAATTAATTTTTTGCTAAATATTATCAAAATGTACATTTTCAATCTCTTAAATGTTTTGGTGGAAAGCAAAGGTCTAATTGTTGCTATTTATATATTGTTTATCAACAGGTGCACTTCTGATATTTGTGGGATTCGCCTTCCTAGGTCAAGTCTATTCAACAGAAAACATTATTCACAATTGTACACAAGTAAATGGAACTCAAGGAAAAGTATATAATAACTATAAGTACACATATTCCACATTTTAAATTTCCTGCTGAAAATTGCAGATGCCAGTGGCTTATAAATAATAAAACAATTGAGAACCATTACGGTCGTTTCAAATATTCCGAAGACAGAAGTACATGAACATTCACCATTAGATTAATTCTACTCAATGCAATGATACAGGACGCTACAAGTATGTGTGTTGAGATAGGGTTGAATCGCAAGAAACATTTTTATATGTCATTGAATTTCCCTCCAAAGAATATCCAATAATAGAATTTAAAGTAAACAATGGACTGCTTGTGGTAAACTTTATCACAGAGAAACTTTTACCAATCCCGAACTTAACGCTAAATGGAGAGACATGTTTTATACAAAAACGCCACTCACTTTTGGATTAATAAGACAGTTCCAATTACATCTAACATTACAAACGTGACATATGTTGGTGTATTGTACTTAAAGGGTTATTATAGACGAACCAAAGCTATAAATGGATCAAGAATAGCTGAGTATTGGAACAAAACTGAAGAAGACACACTGTATTTCAATTTATTTTTTAATAAAATCTCGAAACACAAAAGCTAATAAGTCAGTCACCTATACAGCAGTTTCAGGACACTTAAGTATCAAATATGGTATACCTGTACCAGATAGAGCAGGTGCAGTTTGAAGCCACCAACTTGCATTATCAATTTATGCCTACACAAATGATTGACTCCACAATAAATAATTGCTTTGCTTGTGTTTATTAAAGAATTATGATTATTAAAGAATTACATGTTTTGTTTGTACAGATAGTTTAGAATCTTTTTACATTTGTTTTGTATTGTTTTTTTTTTTAAATTATAAATGAACCAAATGATATTTAGACCAATCTAAAGGTGCATGTTTGAATTATTATTCTGAGCCATGCACACTGGTTGCACTTGGCCAGACAGCCATAGAATGGATTCTTTTTCACCTGCTGCGTAGCTGCAGGAAAAAAGTAAAATAGAAGTCATATTTCAACACACAAAATGGAAGCTTGCCTCCCATCGTGGCAATGTTTGGCAATGTTTAGCACTAAACAGCATAAACATAGGCATTTACCAATGAGACAATGCAAAAATAAAAAAATACTAAATTATGGGAATTGACACTATATAATGTAATGTACTTTTGACGTAATTTATAATGTGTTTATAGTATTAATGTAATAAAATAATAATATTACTATGCTGTACTGTTTTGTATACTGTATATTTATACTGAATTATGAATGTTTGTTGTTTTATGGTATACTAAATGTAATCTTAAGAGGCTATAAAAAAAAAACACATTGTTTTTGTATATAAACTACTAACCTACTTTAATTTCATTCAGTAAAAGTATTCAAAAATATGTATCTCACAATATAATATAATTTATATGAGTGTTTATAATAATTAAGTAATTAAATAATGATACACTACTGTGCTTTACTGTATTTTATACTGTATGTATTTATACTGAATTATGTTTGTTGTTTTTATGGTATACTAAAACAGGTAAGTATAACTTTCTTAAAGAGGCTGTAAAAAACACATGGCATAAAAACTACTAACCTACTGTACTTTATTTTCATTCAGTATGTTAGAGTCAGGCTCCAGATGAAAAAAAGAAATTGATATGTTGTAGAACCGATTTTATGTTTTTAAGACAAAAAAAATGTTTGACGAAAAACTGGGGAACAGTGAATGAGATGCATTTTGAATAAATGTACTTTTGAACTAGAAATGTAATTATCACAAATTATTATTTTCTATCTTGTTTGTTTCTATTTAAAGAATAAAACACTATTATTTATCTTTGTACCATGATTAATTAATTTTATATGTACATACATTATATGTATATAAGTATACACACCTATTTGTTTTTATATATAGTTATTTTTGTTATATATCCTAATGGTGGTATTTTCAGCAACAAACATGTCGATTATGCCTAGAATATTTACCACAATAACTTTCATTAAAAAAAAAAAAATTACTAAGTGCTGCAAGTCTTGTGACTATCAAAAATGTCTACACCTTGTGACATTTTTGTAGAGTTGGAAATGTGCCATATACCAGTAACATAGACAGTATACCTAATGCAAAAAATCTAAATGAACTATGGAAAACCTAACCAATACTATACTATAATGTTGACATTCTGCCATCTAACATAAATTTTGTTATCACGTTTCTCATAGATTGACTTATTTACCTTGGATGACAAAGAATCATATGATTATAAGGAATGGAAATTTACTAAAATTTTCCATTATCATTTTATATTGCTTTTGTGTGTAATAAACTCCTAATTAGTGCAGTCAATGTATTCAGATGGTGAAAAGAGACAAACACACATATCTGATGTCAAATACTACAGCATACTTATTGGTTCCAGTACTTTTAAGAAAAGATGTGTTTATATTATTTTATAAAATGAGTTAGTCTACTTCATCGGGACTGAGAAAATATGTTATCAGTTAAAGTAAATTAAAAATTATTATACTATTTTAAAAAATACTGTAAAGGCAAAAAAAAAAAGTTTTAAAAATGTCATTCCTGAAATCACTGTAAATAGTGAAAAGCTTTACACTATAGCCAAAACAAATTACAAAACAGTTTCCATGACGGGCCATATACCTCTTATAAGTTGTAATAAAAATGAACAAAAAACGGCAGATGGAAACAATTTTGTATGACCTTCTCAAAAGGATATATATGGGCCTGTTTCTACTGATGAAAAAGAATCGTTCTTTGTAGCGGTAAAAACAGGGTCAATAAAAAAGCATTTTTCTTTTTAGGCTGCTGAAGAGCAGTTCTTAGGCACGGAAACAATGCCTTTGACAACATGCATGATTTGATTCTACTGTACTTTGTTATCTACTGTATTCAGTAAAATCTGATACAGTATAAAAAAAAATGATTAAAAATTACATCATCACAAAAACATAGTGATAATATTAAGTTAGAATAACTTGGACTATACGATCCTAGTTACGTTTTGCTTCTGTTATGGAGAAAATAAAATAGTTGTATTTATTTCCTCCAGTGGATGAATACTGACAAACTGATAAATTATAAGTAATTACAAAAATTATTAACAAAAAGTGGCATCTATACATTTAAAATATTTTTACTATTTTATGCTGACAATAGGTTTATAGTACAGTATTGCAATGTTTATAAATACACTACTTCTACAATTAATCAATCAAAACATTTATATAGCGCAAACCCATAATAATATTTCTTTTGACATTGTGCTATCTATCTCATTCATAAAAAGCTGTATGTAAACAACTCATGACGTTATCACATCCCACATTATGGAAGTTATTGTTGACCTTGATAATGGAATTTTACCAGGTTCATCATAGTCATCATCACATGTTCTTTACACAGTCCAGCCACTGAACATTCAAATGACACAATGCAATACATTATAATTATAGCCTAAATAAATATAGGGCTACTACAGTAAAGTATAGTAAAATATGACCTGCTGAAAAAACTACATCCATAATGTTACTGAGCCAAATAAAATTAATTGCTAGGTTTTTTGGAGCCTTGTGAAAAAATTTACTATACTATTGAAAAAAAAAACAATCATTTTTTTTTACAATCTGTAAATTAAATACAGTATAATGATGATCTGCAGAATTTCTGCCAAAGCCTAGGAAGAGGTGGTAACATAAATGACAGAAAACATAACAAAGATTCCATTTATTTCTTCTACAAAAAACAAATTTTTATTATCTCGCCTGTTTACCACTAGTATAGGATTCATGATCATGATTGTATATTTTTTTGCCATTTTTGTATTGTATACCATAACTGAATAAATGTCATTTGAATTTGAAATTGGATAGTAAAACCAAGTAGTAGTACCTTAAAAAAAATAACTTCAAATCCTGGGTGTGAAATTAATTTTATTTAGGCTACATAGAAGAATGGAATTAGTATTATTATTATTATTAGTTTATTAAAATGAGTGTCAACATTTCCATCAATGTAGTTGATGGGAATATCTAATATCAAAGTGTATGCTACACCACTGTTCTTGTAGGAAGGAATGTATTGTATTATTATTACTGTGTACACCGACCATTCACATTGACATTCTATAAGCAAACGTTTTGATTGGAAGAATAATCTAGAATGGTCTCGGCCATTATTGTTTAGGTGTGAGCAGTTTACTACTGTTTGTAATAAACGTCATTAAAACCGCATGTGCACTTCAGTCATAAAGAAGTTGTGTTGCTGTACAGTTACACCTGTCTGAAGCTATGAGGAAAATCATCCATACAGAATTTGTTTAAAAGCAGTTTTTGAGCAAAATGCAAGGTAAGAAAAATTTGTGAGTTTGCGGTAAAAAAATATTACAAATTCAGTGGAAATGCAATTTGATTTTCAACTACTAGGTTTTATGCTCACCAGCTTGACTGGAAGTTTGTTTGGGTCCTTGGCAAAAATGTTTAAGAACCGCAGATCCAGCTCAATTTCCTCACCACCATAATTAATTTTTTGCTAAATATTATCAAAATATGTACATTTTCAATCTCTTAAATGTTTTGGTGGAAAGCAAAGGTCTAATTGTTGCTATTTATTTATTGTTTATTAACAGGTGCACTTTTGATATTTGTGGGATTCGCCTTCCTAGGTCAAGTCTATTCAACAAAAAATATTATTCACAATAGTCAAGTAAATGGAACTCAAGGAAAAGTTTCAACTATAAGTACACATATTCCACATTTTAAATTTCCTGCTGAAAATTGCAGATGCCAGTGGCTTATAAATAATAAAACAATTGAGAACAACTACGGTCGTTTCAAATATTCCGAAGACAGAAATACAGGAACATCCACCATTAAGATTAATTCTACTCAACGCAATGATACAGGACACTACAAGTATGTGTGTTGTGATAGGATTGAATCGCAAGAAACATTTTTATATGTCATTGAATTTCCCTCCAAAGAATATCCAATAATAGAATTTAAAGTAAACAATGGACTGCTTGTGGTAAACTTTATCACAGAGAAACTTTCACCAATCCCAAACTTAACGCTAAATGGAGAGAGACATGTTTTATACAAAAACGCCACTCACTTTTGGATTAATAAGACAGTTCTAATTACATCTAACATTACAAACGTGACATATGTTGGTGTATTGTACTTAAAGGGTTATTACAGACGAATCAAAGCTATAAATGGATCAAGAATAGCCGAGTATTGGAACAAAACTGAAGACGACACGCCTCCAGATGAAGGAGACACGCCCTCTAATGAAAAATACAATTCTGCTTCCTCAACAGTAGGCCTACAAATAGCTGGAGTAACAGTTGGAGTGATCCTTATCATTGTATGCTTGTGTATTTCAATCTATTTTTTAAGAAAATCTCGAAACACAAAAGCCAATAAGTCAGTCACCTATACAGCATTTTCAGGACACTTAAGTATCAATGGTATACCTGTACCAGAGAGAGCAGGTGCAGTTTGAAGCCACCAACTTGCATTATCAATTTATGCCTACACAAATGATTGGCTCCACAATAAATAATTGCTTTTGCTTGTGTTTATTAAAGAATTATGTTTATTAATGAATGACAGATAGTTTAGAATCTTTTTACATTTGTTTTGTATTGTTTTTAAAAAAATTATAAATGAACCAAATGATATTTAGACAATCTGAAGGTACATGTTTGAATAATTATTCTGAGCATGGAGGTATGTTCTGAGCCATGCACACTTGTTGCACTTGGCCAGACAGCCATATGGAAGCTTGCCTACCATCGTGGCAATGTTTGGCGATTTTTAGCACTGTACAGCATAAACATAGGCATTTACCACTGAGACAATGTAAAAATACTAAATTATGGGAATTGACACTGTATAATGTAATGTACTTATGATGTAATTTAAAATGTGTTTATAGTAATTATGTAACAAAATAATAATACTACTATGCTGTACTGTTTTCTATACTGTATATTTATACTGAATTATAAATGTTTGTTGTTTTATGGTATACTAAGAGTAATCTTAAGAGGCTATAAAAAAACACATTGTTTTTGTATATAAACTACTTAACCTACTTCAATTTCATTCAGTAGTATTTATAAATATAATTTATAATGTGTTTATAATAATTAAGTAATTAAATAATAATACACTACTATGCTGTACTGTATTTTATACAGTATGTATTTATACTGAATTATGTTTGTTGTTTTTATGGTATACTAAAACAGATAAGTGTAACTTTCTTTGCTGTAAAAAACACATGGTATAAAAAATACTAACCTACTGTACTTTATTTTCATTCAGTATGTTAGAGTCAGACCCCAGAGGAAAACAATTTTTTGATATGTTGTAGAACTAATTTTTTTAAGACAAAAAAAAAGTTAGACGAAAAACTGGGGAACGGTGAATGAGATGCATTTTGAATAAATGTACTTTGTTCCTATTTAGAAAAAGAATAAAACACTATTATTTATCTTTGTACCATGATTAACTAATTTTATATGTAAATGTGTGCATGCATTCTATGTATATAAGTATACACACCTATTTGTTTTTATATAGTTAATTTATGTTTTTTTTTGTATTGTATGTGGTCAGGGTGAGACAAGAATATACACTTCTAATATTGATCCCACTGATGGACACTATTATTTATTTTTTTGCAGTTCTGTTTTTTATGTATCATTTTTGTATCATTATGTTGACTATTTTGAATAAATGTAGTTTTGAACTAGAATTTGAACTTCTTTTTTTTTGTCTTTTGTGGGTGCATCCCACCTTTATTTCAACCATCGCAGAATAATTTTTTTGCACAATTTGTTGTCAAAGAATTATATCACATAATTATAATATATATCTACACATACAAACATACATATTATACACATATTAAATGTATGCAAGTACTCAAACTCTCTTTTATGTAAAGATATAGGTAATCTATGTACATTTCAACTGTTAAATATATAAATATACTTCAAATAGATATTAAACAAAAATATGATAAGGTAAATGAAGGAATCAGTGTTGGGTAGAGACTATAAACCCAGAGGAGGCATAGAAGCCTCCCTTTTCACCAAGACATGTTATTTTGAAATGATAATTGTAGAATAATGAAACAGATTGAAACAGAGTTAGAACAATAGCACGTAGTGATAATAAAATGGAAAACCGTAAGGTTAGGGTCCACACACGTTGCAAGTCCAAGGCTACGGTCACACTAGAGTTTCAAGCCTGGCTTAACTCACCGCGGGTGAGATTTTCGTAATGTGATCGCATCTGCACCGACTCGCGCCCGGCGTGACCTCGATCTCAATCTACCTATCTCGATCCCGGCTCTAGACAATTTGTTTATCTTGGCTCTGTGTGTATGCGAGGCACATTGTACCCACATTTTTCTCAAAATAATTAACATCCAAAGATAATAGAATATTTTTATTTCATTTCTTTAATAACCACCACTTTTGTTCAATTAAAATAAACCAAGTGGTCACTAAAATCATTTAAACATTATACAAACACACCTTTGTCAAGGGTACAGTGCTTAAATGCCAATGGTATATTTTAACTTACGAAGATCGATCTTTGACCATTTTTTTTTTGCTTTATCATTATTTAATAAAAATTCAAATTTTATCAAGTTCTTCAACTCGGAAACAAACATTATCCATGGACAGCTTCTTCCGAGTCCAAGTCTAGGCTTGATTTTACTTTTTTAAATACAAAACGTGAATATTGATATTACCTCATTGGTTATTTAATTGTACATACCAAGTACAATTTTACTCCACAGTACGAAATTAGGTGGAGTAGAAAAACATGTTTCTAACAAATAATAAAATTTTATCCAATATATTTCTATATTCTTGCATTTAAATAACATGTGTTCTTTATTTTCAGGTAATTTGCAGTAATCGCGTAAATTTGTAATTCCATATTTTTAATCGTTTTTAGTTGGAAGTATCATGTGAATAAATTTAAAATTAAAATGTGCAATCTTTTTCAAGGGCATCATGGAAGTCATCTTCATGAAACCCAATCTATGGCACTCATCTGTGAATTATTTTCCCATTTGCTTTGCTTGCACTTTTGGTAGTTTAAATTTGGCTTCTATAAATGTTAAATAGGAGATTTCTTTAAAATAGTATTATAAATAGTTTTATATTAATTTGGTTTATGCATTGTGCAAATAGGTTTATGTATTATGTTTCCAATTTCGTGGTATTGCATCAATTAAAGCTACATATTCAATTAACACGTTGTGGTTTTTTGGAAGTTGTGGAATTATTCCTTTTATATGCTTAAAGCTTGTACCAACCATGATATCATTAATAATTTTTAAATTTGAGTCTATCCATGATTTTCAGAATAGAGGTTTCTTATTTAATTTAATGAATTTGTTATCCCACAGCCTCTGTTTTTTAATCTCACAGATGCAGTGTGGTTCAGAAGAATTGTACATTATTAAATTTTATGTAAGAATTTAGCATATTTTGATAAAATTTAGGCATTTTAACAAACGTATTATGATCTTCATAACGAACTTCAGTCATACATAAGTTATAAGCCAGAGGATTTAGAAAGAAAGATGGAATAAATTTCCACTTGCCTGGGTCAGGGTTTAGTAATCGTTTAACCCAGCTTAATTTGAGGGATTCAACCATTCAGTTGAAATCAATCAACTTAAGACCACCCTTAGTAATATCTTGTATGATTGTATTTAATTTAATTTTTTCCTTTCTTTCTTTACATAAAAAGTTATATAAAATGTTGTAACCTCAGAAATAATGGATTGTGGTATATCTATGACACTTGCGTTATATATAAGCTTTACATAAATCATTGTTTCTTATATTTGTTGACATTACCTCAACAACTAAAATAAATAATAATGCAGAGAGAGGACATCCTTAGTGTATGCCACCGTTCATTAAAAAATATCCATTCATTGTTTATTATGAAACTCTCTGTATGGTATACATTATTTCAACCCAATGTAAAAATTGGTTCCCAAAACCAAAACTTTTCAGACATATAAACATGAAATTTCTGTCTACTGAGTCAAACGCCTTTTCAAATTCTATAAAAGGCTCCTTCTTAATATTATATTATATTTTTTTCTTTATTATTTTTTTATTTATCAGTGTAGTCAAGTAGGTCTTCCATTAATCAAATACTTTCTCCAGAAAATCTACCCTTTATATAACCCTTCTGATTATGATTAATGATAGTACCTATTACTTTAGGTAAATATGTGGGCTAAAATCTTGTAATCAATGTTGAGAAGTACCGGTCTCCAATTTTCAATTTTTTCTCTTTCCCCTTCTTGTATAACAAAGTAATAATGCCTCTACGTTGGGATGTGGAAAATTGTTATTAACGAAGCTGTAGTTGAGTGCATCACATAGGAGGCAATTTAAATTCTCCCAGAATATACGATAAAATTCAACTGAAAGTCCATCTATACCTGGACTTCTATTTAAACTCATCTTTAGTACAGCCATCTCGCATTCTTCCGCTGTTACTAAACCTTCACATTTATTTATGTCTTCAAATTAATTTTTTAGAATAAAACAAAATTTGATGTATCAAATACCAAGGTATAAAAGGGGTTCACATAGTTCATAAGATCTACAATAAATACTGTAAAGTAGTTTATAAAGCTATCCCAATGTTTCCTGTGTCTGACTATAGTTGGACCATTTCTTTCTCATTAAACAATTAATTTTATTCAGGGCCTTTGACTCTAGCAAGTGATGCTCATAAGCACACCACCACCTAGGGTCAAAGTTCCTCACAGAATTTTCCACTTGCTTGAAATTTATGACATACGGTATGATGAAAAATTGACTGTACATCACCACCACATGATCTCAGTGTATACTACTATATATAATGTCTCAATAAAGTATGAATGGAAAACAAGTAGTAGGGTCATGTTCACTAAAAAGTAATATTCCACATAAAAAAATGTTCATCTTTCAATTTATTGTATTTGGTAGTGTAATGAAGTTCAACACTTCATTATACATTACTCAAAATAATGTTTCCTATTATTAATTTAATACTTTTTTTTGATACTTTATTTTTGGAATAGTAATGTTACTGGTTCTACTGTAGGTCTGCTTGGTCAGTAGGGAAAATTGTGGTGGTAACCAATCTGGTTCTCTGCATTCATTTACATACCTTCACACTATACCAAATAAAGTCTGAGTTATACTGTACTAAAGATTGGTGTGTGAGCACTTTGATTTGAGTTTTAAATCGCATGTATTTTCCGGATTGATCAAGTCAACGCACTTGATATCCTAAATATATAAATCCACTAATTTTAATTAAAAAGAAGTGATACATCTTCACAGTAAAGTCCTTTTATCTTTTTGTTGGGGCTTATATTAAAGTGCATTTGTTAAACCATGTGATCTAGTGTTAGCCAAACTACAAGCTTGTATTTTGTGCTCGTTCCAATTGTACATTAAAAATTCCACAAATAAAAAAAATAAATAAGCCAGCTGTACTATTTGACTTTTTCTAAATTAGGATCCCTGAAAACACATCACTCAACATCTTCAAGCTTTCTAAAAATGCACCATTGTGTGAAATTCTATGACTCCTTTCACTGAAACTTGACACAAGTACTTCATATCAAGAGTCAACTTCATGTGCCTTTACAGTCCGCATGCGCGTCATTACAAGAAAATGAATGTTTTTCTGACCCTCCTCATCTATCTTCTTCAAATCTTTGTGAAATTCTATGATTTATCATAAATCCCTCACCAACAAGCATATTTCCTTCTGACACCATGTTATTCTGGACATGCTTAGATACAATGATGGGATGGAACAGTTTTCCAATAACAATTCAACTTTATTAACGTTACTCAAAACTACCTTCTGTAACTGCAGCGTGTCCTGTGCATGAAGACCCACGACAGAGGGTGGAAGACTGAACTACAACACTAGGCACAAGTTACTTCATATCAAGGGTCAACTTCAAGTGCCATTACGGTTCTTGCGTGCGTCATGACATGCGTGAAATCACTTTTTGACTTTTCAAGCACGTTTTAGGCCATTTTGAACATTTAAAAATTTTCCAAAATTTCTGTGCAGTGCGCGAATTTTCACGCGAATAGCATGTACTGAAGCTAGAAATTACATTCCTTACATATTTTGGGTTCCTGACACTGTATACACAAACTTCCTTTCTTTTTCAGTCATTTTTATGGCCGAAATAATGCTACACTTGCACATCAAACAGACAAATTTGTGTACACGCTGTATTAACAAATGTCCATTTTCATTTAATTATAACAGCCCCCTTCATGGTCAATTATTCTAAAATTATCGAAATCACTATTGGATCCTGTGTATAATTCATCGGTGAAAAATTTAAATCTAGTTATTATTATTATTATTAATTATCTATCATGCCATCTCAACAAAAGAGACTTTGGATACAAGAGGATTCATTACCATTCTTGTTAACAAAGGCAACAAGTACTTTCTTTGTGATGGTCATAATAGCATAGTAAACAAGGAAAAGTACTGTACCAGGAAGTATATATTATTAAAAAAATATAGCTCCCAGGTATAGGGACATCCAATTTCAAGTACCATTGATTTCCAAGGTTACAACCCATATTAGAATTTGAGCGAGTAGCTCAATGTGTTGGAAATTTGCCTTTTGATTGACCATTCCTATTATTAAAAAAAAAAAAGAATCAACAAAAATTAGTCGATCCCCATAATTAGCCTTAATTAGTATTCAATAAGTATGTATGCTTACACCAAAGGCATTTAAATACAATTTTCACTATAATACTTTAGCTGATATGCATGGAAAATGCTACCGGCTAAAACATCAATCATCACCATTGATACTGTTAGTCTATTGACATTGAAAAAATATGACCATATTTATTCTTTAATGAGGATATTCACAAAGATTAAGAACAATACTTTATCAAATACATCGATATACTGTTGTACATATTGTATTTCATCATTATGAGTATTGCATCATCGATATTGCATCATCTAATAGTCCTTCTTTAGGACAATTTCATAAATTGAGATATACATGTCAGACACTTTAAAAATCTATTTTCAATTTTTGTTTTAACATCTACTCAGTGAAAGCAAACTGAATTTAAAAGCATTTGTATTGGATGAATGAAGTCTCTAAACCAGTTTCATGCAGAGCTATGTTACCGCAATATTGCGGGAAACTTCCCGGCATTGCCTTCTTCATAAATAGGTCATTGGGCAACCGCAGCCACAATATTGGGGTTACGCAGTGTTCCATCTCAGACCTATTAATATTATCACAATATTGCTGTCACAGTGCATTCCACTGTGTGTCTGAAACGAAAGCAGATCACATTCATGCCGCACTCGTGTGCTTCATTCATAGAGCAGTTGTGTTGGCGTAACAGTTAGACATGTCTGGAGCTATGAAGCCAATTCAAATCATCTAAGCATATATTTGTTCGCAGTTTTTTTAGCAAAATGCAAGTTAAGATATTTTACCATAAAAATACTAGACTCAGTGGAGATTTGATTTTTTAATCTACTAGGTTTTATGCAAACAAACCTTGCATTATTTTACTGCACATCCCCTGAACTTAAATACCATCTTTTGTTTGATGATTTAGAAATCCATATGGATATCAAATTTAAACAACAAATTGTATAAGCCCTATTAATTATACTATTGCGAGAAAAGTTTTCGATAATCATTGTAAATTACTTTTAACGATGGCATGGAAAGAACGAAATGAAATATACAGCCCACGAAATTAGGAAAAAATTAGGTCAGCAAAAATTTGCCGACCTTAAATTCTCCGAGGTCGGCAGCCTCGGAAAATTTTTACTACCTAGACCTATATAGTATAAACTACAACTTTTTCCGAACGCTTGACCTTACATCGTCATCTACAGATTGTGATTTTGTTAATTTCTCTATTAAATCAATATATTGCTGGTGAAAGAATGGTCGTACTTGTATTAATTTAATAGTGTAGTATAAAACATATGTTTTACATAAGAAAATCGCCGAATAAATTTCGTTTTAGCGCTTGTTTTATCGTTATCTTTGGCATGGGAAATATCACTTTTCGTAAAAGCTACGATCGTATCATCACAGGCTGCTTCAAAACTGCCCATGCATGTCCATGCGCATGCCCAGAATGATCTATCAGGGATTTTCCACACATGTACAGTACTTGTCTCAGTAGTGAAGTCACAATGCGATCGTGATTGCGTTTAAACAGACGGTAGGATTAGGCCTACAATATGTTGAATTTTGTTGTATTTAATAATAAACAATATTTTAAATATGATAATAATACTGTAAAATGAAGACAAATAATAAATTTAGATAAGCATTACGATCTATGCGGCCCACATGGCTTCAATTGGACGATGTTGTAGGCCTTGGCTGACTAGCGTCATTCCTACCTAGGCCTAGCCTACGAAACGACTAGGCATGCATGCCTATTATAAATAGTTATTGTACAAACAAATCTGTTTTATGAACCACCAACTTCCTTGGTTTGATGATGTACATGATGTTTAGTGTCTGCTATAGCCCTTTTTTTTAGTGAAAGTTTTTGACTTTCCAAGCAGTTTTTGAAGCAAAGAAATCTAATAATTCTAATAATAATAATAATAATACTTTTCTATTGCAAGACTATATATGTCTGGTTATTATTTGATGGTTGCCATCCCAAAACCAGCATACAGTACTGTCGTTAAATGGTTCCGATGGATGGGTAATTTGGAAAATGACACTGTATTATGTATATATGATATTTTATACACGTAGTGTATTTATGTAAATTCATTTTGCACCAAGGTATAATAATGTATTTTTACTGTATTTATATGTTTGTATGTTTACATAACTGAAATGATGAGTACAATTTTGAGAGGTTGCAAAAAACATATTAAGTCCTATCAGATGCATGGTCATGAAAATGTGTTTACCAAAACATAATATGAAAGATCTATCATGATGTTAAGTCTTTATTGTGGTCAGGGGTTTATTTAAGAATTTGAGTAGCAGGAGAAATTTGAAAGTAACAGGAGAGTAAATTGAAATAGGCCGGGGTATAAGGGGGCCGCCTAGGCCCCATCGCAGTCCAGGGGCAGAGTCCTGGTCGGGGGTCAAGGGGGCGGAAGCGCCATTGCGCTCCAGGGTTTTAGAGTTTTTTAAGCCCATTTGATGGCATTTCTCTACATCATTTTTTTTAAAACAGTTTTTCAGAATCAATTACTGAGCTCTAAAGAAGTTGATATTTTTACATATTCTTCATACATAGGCCTACCTAGCCTAAATAGATACTGTAAACCAGAAACTTTCGCGAATTGATAATTTCGGCCGTTTTTGCGACATTAAATTTTCGCGAATCTCAAAAAGCCTAAATTTAATTCATGAGAGGAATATCATACAATAGCTGAAAATATCGTATCGTGAGTTTAGGCCTACAGATTAGATAGGCCTACAGCCACTGTGTAGGCTACAGTATCTAGGCCTAGGCAGGCAAACTAAGGCGCCATAAGCCTGCCAGGACTTAGCTGGCTATCCCAGGCAGATAAGAAAGAGACAAGTTTACACACATACAGTACTCACTCATATGATATTCCATAATTTTGTATGGTATTCAAGCATCCTACAAAATGAACAATGTTTATCAATGTTTTATTAACAAACTATTTTCCTGTAGGACTAATATCGATTGAAACACATTGATTGATGATGATTGAACATCGTGGTATGTCATATGGTACGGAAAATTAGTTTCCCATTTGAACTTCTTAGTATACACTGCACATTGGTTGCACATGTGCAATCACATGCAGTGATGATCAGAACTTCCTTGATTAGTATACTTACTGAGTAGGTTAGAATAGGCCTAGAATTTACGAATTTTTCGAGCTCAACATCGGAATTTATGGTCAGAATATTGATTCAATAATTGAAATACATTCTTTTTTAAGTTTATACACATTTAATAAAATCCACCAAAAAAATTGAAAATACAATTTTTATAATGATGAAGTTGTTTACTTTTCACAAACATGTTGAAATTTGTGGGGATTCACCATTTAGGCCTATGCCCTAGATCTGCATTGAAGAAAACATCTAAAGGAGAGCAAAAAATAGTTCTAAAATTTACGCAGATATCGAAAAGGAATGGATACCACATTGGAAAAAAAAATGTCTCATGTGATGTAAATTGAGACGATTTTGGCTTGCTCTGCCGTTTTAATCATTGTACTATCTATGACTCTGAAATTGTGAGTGTAAACAGCATTCAATATAGTTGGTTCGGCTTGCTACCTCCGCCACCGAATGTAAACGAATTTGGGCCAGTGTTGGTTTTTTTTTTTTTTATTATTTATCATTTCCGAAATATCTATGTCATCACAAAGAGGGCTAGTAAAATAAAAATGAAAATAAAAGGTTCATAGTCATACACAAATTAATTTTAAAACGACGATCTGTTTTTTTCTTCTCCGCAGTAAAAAAAAACCCGGAAGCCCAATGTACAGTAAAAGAGTTTGGGCGATGTATATCGTCATCTCCTGAGCATGTGGTGGAGGAGAAATTTCTATTATCTTATTGGCTAACATGTGATTTGGAGGCGTGGCTTCTTTGATGGACTCACCCAGACGCGACTGCCGAACTTTGAACTTTAACTTTGTTTACGCCGCG